TTTATATCAGGGTGCAGAATAGTCCCTCAAGGACCAGATAAAGGCAAGCAAAGGGCCAAATTTGGCTGTGGGCCACAGTTTGGAGACGACTGCTCTAACTGCTAACAACCAAGCCTAATCCAGAGCACCAATAAGGGAATTACTGCTTTAAGCGGAGTTCCAGTCTCCTGTGAAAAAATAAAAGTCAGCAGCTACAAAAATTGTAGCAGCTGACTTTTAAAAAACAGCCACTCACCTGTCCCTTGATCCAGTGATGCACTCACTGCAGCTAGGTTCGCTGGCCGTCATCTGCCCCTGACTCCAGCATCTTCAGTTTTGGCACCCGGCTGTGACAGTTTTAGGCTGGGAGCAGTGCTGCGCATTTTGAATGGTCCTGCAGTCTTCTTGGACCTGTCATATGTCCCAGAAGACTATGGGGGGAGGAGAACTTTAGATTCTGATCTCCTAGGCAGTCAGAGTGGAAGTGGGAGCTGGTACCTGTCAAAATTGGGTACTGGCCCCCCCTGCTCCCCAAAGGTGCCAATCCTTAACAGGGAACGGGGGACAAAGCCTTAAAGTGGTTCTTCTCCTTTTGGGTGGATCTCCGCTTTATTTTGTTCCTAGAGCAGCACAAAAGAGAAAGAGAATTGCTATTTGGTACAATGTTTGCAATGTGTATAGCTAACCTGTTTTTAAAACATAGGTTAATGGTCAAGTATTGAGCATTTGTTCACCCTGGGAAAATAATAATATCCCTACCCTCACAATGTTTCATCTACAAATATCAGAAAACCAGCTGTACTCTTGGCGTCTGTTCTTGAAATCAGGATAACGAGTTATAGTTATCTATTGGCTTTAAAAGTAAACTAACTTAAATTCCCATTGTTAACCTTTCATTATGATGAATTAAAACACATTGTACAAGACAATTACAGGTTTGGAAATGATTTATAATCCAAAATCTTTCTAAAGAGGATTGATGTGCATGTTCATTTAGCTTACGTAGCTGCCAACATATTCAAAGCAGCATTTCAGGCAGATATAATCAGTAGAATTTTGATCAATATAAGAGTCAATACTCAGTGTATTAGCGATGTCCAAGTTTGCAACAAATTAATTAGAATAGAAATGATCATTATGTGCTGCCAGTAGTAAGACGACATGTAATAATAGCTCAACGTAATGCAACAACAGTATATTGGCAATGTCACTGCTAGCTGAAAATATAGACATTACCGTAATTTTAATAATAGGTTTTAAGATAAGAAGTCCGATTAAATGTCTTTTAGAATTAGCAAATTATGAAAAATTGTATTTGTAAGGATCTTCTCTAATAAGATTGATGCACCTAACATTTTGCAGTATTTCTGACAATATACATAACTGTGCACTCCTAAAGCAAGCCCTTCAGGACTACCCTAGGATATGATAGTTGGCAGACACACAAGAGATTACTAGCAGCACTGATGCTTGAAAGAATTCTGGAGATTCTTCTAAAAACAAAGAGAAAATGGAGAAAGACTACAAAGTTCAATAACTAGTACTTTGCACTTCTTTTTGGAATGCGCTTAACCAATTGTGTTGCCTGTTTATCCCTTGAAAAGAATTCTAAAGTTTCTAATTAATACCAGCTTTACCATATTAAATGATGGGTTAGAAGCATAACAAGCAGAACAACTCAAAGCAACACAAAAAGTCATTTTATCTAAGGTTTCACTTCTATATATGTTAATCGCAAATCTAAACAGCTGTATCTTTATATCTATTATACCAAAATCAGGCCCTCTTTACACTGATCTGTAGGCAAGGCTTACCAAACTTACCTAAGGCTACGTTCACACTAGCCTTGTGTGCAGGCGGCAGAGAGGCGTTGTAAGCGTTTTTACCGCTTCCCAAATGCCTCTGCCAATTCTGCACATTACAGCACATGGTGCTGTTCTAACAGGAGCGTTTGCGTCGCGTCGCGTTGCGTCGCGGCAAAACGGACGCCTCTGGTCGAGTCAGGAGGCTTTGAAGCCTCCTATTCTCGTCTATGGTGCCGCTCCGCAAACGCCCGGCCGGCGTTTGCGGTGCGGTTGCGACGCGGTTGCGGGGTGTTTGCGGAGCGGTAACACCACTCAAATGCATTATAGGTGTTTGCGGAGCGTTTTTAACGCTCGGCAAACGCCTAGCAACCGCCGCTAAACCGCGCATGCGGCGTTTGCGGAGCGTTTGCCGAGCGTTAAAAACGCTCCGCAAACACCGGACCAACGCTTGCCAAACGCTATAGGGGCGTTTGGCAAGCGTTGGCAAAACAGCCTAGTGTGAACGAGCCCTAAGAATTAGGGGGTGTCAACACCACACTGATGCCTTTGCATTGCTTTATGATATAGAAATTGAATTACAATTGGAATATGATAGATTACAGAAGTGGCAAAACATGAGTAATAGTTTGCACAGCTTGGTGGTAATGGCGGTCAAGAAGGTACTTCTTCAGACAAATAATACAGGGTGTCCCTAAAGTCTGGACACATAGGAAATATCACTAACCATATATTTTTTTCTCAACCATACATTTTGCCTATGTGTCCAGACTTTAGCGACACCCTGTATATGTTGTGCATACCACTACATGCACACGAAGTGCTTCCTTTGGAGGTGATATCAATATTGCTCTGAGTTGCCAAAGTCTCTGTGGGATGTCCGACTGGCCATGAGAGGAAATTCAAGGAAAGTAGCAGAAATTGTTGCCTTTTAAAGGGAAACCTGCTCTTTTCCTCCTTGTCAGGTACCTTTCCCTAATGCTGCTCCTTCTCTTTCCATATCCAGTGGGGCTCTGTTCCTCACATTGCGGGCACATTGAAGGGTGCAGAAAGTGCTATTTAAGCACTCCTGTGTCAAAGATGGCCATCCAAGTGTTGCGAGATTTCGACATTCAATAGAAGACAGTCCCCAAAGAGTTCCTCCCAGCCTTTAAGTACAGTCAGGAAAGAAACTTTTGGTACTCATATTTAAAATGAATTGCCCTCGTGTCAGGTTTTCAAAACATGTTTATCAGCATATAGTGGAAATATCAGGAATAATAAAGTCATCCACACCCAAATGGCTCTTAATTTTACAAATCATGGAATTTTCTTTTGACTCACAAAAAAAAACTGTAGGAGTACAAAAATTACAGGAACACAGAAATGATTGTTCTAGTTGGTGATAATTGTGCTCATAATTATGGCCCAGCAAAAACATCTGGCTTCAAAAAAATTTTGCAAGAATACTAGCATATCTAGCTGTATGCTAGGTACAGCAATGCACACTGAACAGCTTTAAATACACATAATGAATTATAGTGTATGCCCAAGCATTATCCAAATTTAGGGGTGGTTCCAAAGAGATTGATGAATTGTGTGTGTGGCTATATAATGCTGAAAAATGGCCAAAATGGGCACAGAAATACAACCGAAAACACATTCTGCTAGTCCTTATGAATATGGCAATACCACACGTAAGAGACTTTTTCAATGTTTTGACTGATTACATACCGGTTGGTGTATCTTGTGAATAAATTAACCAATTGTATCAAAACCAATGTACTGTAGTGGTTTCCTTGGTATTGTTCAGGGAATATAGCTTAATGTAGAGTCATTTATAGCAGTCCCAGTTCCTATAAGCCAAACAAGTCTACCCTACTGGTACGTGGCTGCCCCAGGAATGCCATGTTCACTGGCCAGGAACTACAGTAGGCTAAAGAAGGGCAACCAATTTGGTTCCAGGAGTGCAGTTGTCCACAGAGGATCACTGGAACTGGTGTCTCACAGGAGCATAGTTAGTGGAATGTGTTGTACACTGTAACTGGTGTGACGGTGATCAGGACACTGCAACTGGTGTGGCTGTAATTAGGAACAATATGACTGGTGTGGCTGTGATAGGGACACTGTGACTGGTGTGTTGGGGATTAGGGACATTGACTGGTGATGTTAAAAAAAAAGTATAATGTAGTTTAACAATATTTATTTTTCATACTGTCACCAGAGTAGTGCAGTGTCCCAGTGGTGACACTGTACTACTCTGGGGAGTGATTGGGGTTTTTTTTTACCCCACTGTGATTGCTTATTACAGCGATGATCACTGTAAAATAAATGTTTTTAATTGTCATTAATGGCTTTCATTCATGATTCATTGTTTACTATTGTGATCCATGACTGTGACCAATTACAGCGATCACATGGTATCTGGGCCAATCACAGCGGCCCGGTACGAAGAACTGTGGTCACAGATAGAGCCGCTGTGTGCCCCAGCTGCGCGAGTGGAAGGGCTGCTGGGAATGTCCTCCAGTAACAACAGAGTATCCATCTGGCCATTTATATACATTTGTTAGGCAGAAAGTGGCTAATGCAGAGAATGCATTAAGGTGAAAAACTTTCTTCCTTTACAACCACTTTAAGCTCCTCTTCTCCAAAGTGAATAACTGTAATCTATGTTTTGTTAAATGTAGCATTAAAAGCATTTTGTTATATACCTATATGTGCAGAAAATCAATATATGTTGATCCTGCAAGAAATCCAGCAGTTTCTAACTTATTGTACACTTTTCAGCTGCTGAACTGAAATTCCCAGCAGGGTTGCCAACTATGCCAAGTTTTCCTCTGTGAACTACAGTACACCTCCCACTTACATTATAGAGATACAGATAGGAATGTTCTGTACCCATAGCAGGAGTGAGCAACCTAGGATGGCAATGTTTAGGAGTTGCTGAAGACTTGGGTCCACCTATAGCCCTGCACAGCCAGGCAACATAAATCTTCTCACAGGCTTGTATCCAGAGTCAGAGATCAGCCCTTGAGCTTTGGTTTTGTTATTTTTCTTTCCAGGATGCCCTAGGGAACTGTTGAACTGAGGACAACTTCCTGTAACTATTTACAAGCCTTCACTGCAACATAGTCTCTAGAGATGAGCGAATCGAACCAGGCGAAGTGGAATTCGTTTCGAATTTCAGGAAAAATTCGATTCGCAGTCGAATCCGAATATTTGCATAATTCGGGTGCGCGAATCGGATTTTTCCCGATCAGCCGGCAAAAGTGTCCCTGCAGAGAGCTCCGCTATTTCTGACAGTTCTCTGACAGTTCCTTCACATGTACAGCGGTTGAAACATTGTATCTATTTGTTTCCATTTAGGATACAGATGTTTTTTATTCAGAAATAAATAGATACAATGTTTCAACCGCTGTACATGTGAAGGAACTGTCAGAGAACTGTCAGAAATAGCGGAGCTCTCTGCAGATACACTTTTTGCTGTACTGGAATACTTCTTCTTTTCATTCTTCTTTTCATTCTTCTCATTCTTCTTTTCATTCTTCTTTTCATTCATTCTTCATCTCATCATTCTCTTTTCATTCTTCTTCATTCTTCTTCTCTTTCATTCTTCTTTTCTTCTTCATTGAAAAGAAGAATGAGAAGAAGAATGAAAAGAAGAATGAGAAAAAAGAGAAATGAGAAGAATGAAAAGAAGAATGAAAAGAAGAAGAAGAATGAAAAGAAGAATGAGAAGAAGAATGAAAAGAAGAATGAGAAGAAGAATGAGAAGAATGAAAAGAAGAATGAGAAGAATGAAAAGAAGAATAAAAAGAAGAAGAAGAAGAATGAAAAGAAGAAGAAGAATGAAAAGAAGAATGAAAAGAAGAAGAAGAAGAATCTTTTCTTCATTCTTCTCATTCTTCTTTTCATTCTTCTTCTTCTTCTTTTCATTCTTCTTCTTCTTTTTCAATTCTTCTTTTCATTCTTCTTCTTCTTCTTTTCATTCTCTTCTTTCTTTTCATTCTTCTTTTCATTCTTCTTCTTCTTTTTCTTTTCATTCTTCTCATTCTTCTTTTCATTCTTCTTCTTCTTTTCAATTCTTCTTCTTCTTTTTTCATTCTTTTTTCATTCTTCTTCTTCTTCATTTTCATTCTTCTTCTCAATTCTTCTTCTTTTCTTTTCTTCTTCTTCTTTTCATTCTCCTTCTTTTTTTCTTCTTCTTTTCATTCCTTCTTTTTTTCATTCTTCTCATTTCTCTCTTTTCATTCTTCTTCTCTTCATTTCTTCTTTTCATTCTTTTTCTTTAAATTCTTCTTTTCATTCTTCTCATTCCTTCTTTTTCTTCTTCATGAAAAGAAGAATGAGAGAAGAAGAATGAAAAGAAGAATGAAAAAAAGAAGAAGAATGAAAAGAAGAATGAGAAGAAGTATGAAAAGAAGAATGAAAAGAAGAATGAGAAGAATGAAAAGAAGAATGAAAAGAAAGAAGAAGAATGAAAAGAAGAATGAGAAGAAGAATGAAAAGAAGAATGAGAAGAAGAATGAAGAAGAATGAAAAGAAGAATGAAAAGAAGAAGAAGAATGAAAAGAAGAAGAAGAATGAAAAGAAGAATGAAAAGAAGAAGAATCTTTTCATTCTTCTCATTCTTACTTTTTCATTCTTCTTTTCATTCTTCTTCTTCTTCTTTTCATTCTTCTTCTACTTTTCATCTTCTCTTCTTCATTCTTCTTTTCATTCTCAGGGAGGGAAACCTTCTTCTTTTCATTCTTCTTTTTCATTCTTCTTCTTCTTCTTCTTCATAGTTTTCATTCTTCTTCTTCTTCTTTTCATTCTTCTTCTTCTTTTCATTCTTCTTCTTCTTCTTTTCATCTTTTTTTCATTCTTCTCATTCTTCTTTTCATGACCATTCTTCTTTTTCATTCTCTTATCATTCTCTTTTTCATTCTTCTTCTTCTTCTTTTCATTCTTCTTTTCATTCTTCTCATTTCTTCTTTTCTTCTTCATGAAAAGAAGAATGAGAAGAAGAATGAAAAGAAAATGAAAAGAAAATAAGAATGAAAATGAAAAGAAGAATGAAAGAAGAATGAAAAGAAGAAGAAGAATGAGAAGAAGAATGAAAAGAAGAATGAAAAGAAGAATGAAAAGAAGAATGAGAAGAATGAAAAGAAGAAGAAGAATGAAAAGAAGAATGAAAAGAAGAATGAGAAGAAGAATGAAAAGAAGAATGAGAAGAAGAAGAATAAAAGAATGAAAAGACGAATGAAAAGAAAAGAAGAAGAAGAAGAATGAAAAGAAGAAGAAGAATGAATGAAAAGAAGAATGAAAAGAAGAAAAATGAAAAAAGAATGAGAAGAAGAATGAAAAGAAGAATGAAAAAGAAGAATGAGAAGAATGAAAGGAAGAATGAAAAAGAGAAAGAAGAATGAAAAGAAGAAAGAAAAGAAGAATGAGAAAGAAGAATGAGAAGAATGAAAAGAAGAATGAGAAGAATGAAAAGAAGAATGAAAAGAAGAAGAAGAATGAAAAGAAGAAGAAGAATGAAAAGAAGAATGAAAAGAAGAAAAGAAGAAAAATCTTTTCATTCTTCCTCATTCTTCTTTTCATTCTTCGGAGCTCTGCAGATACACTTTTTGCCGGCTTGGAATTCTTCTTATTTTCACCTACTTCTTCTTCTTCTTCTTCCTCTTGAAGTTAGGAATGAAAATAAGAAAATTCCAAGCCGGCAAAAAGTGTATCTGCAGAGCTCCGCTAAGTGTATCTTGCAGAGCTCCGCTAAGTGTATCTCGCAGAGCTCAGCGGTTGAAACATTGTATCCTATTTGTTATCCATTTATGGAAACAAATAGATACAATGTTTCAACCGCATGAATGTATGGAGTTGAATGTCAGAAGAACTGTCAGAAATAGCGGAGCTCTGCAGATACACTTAGCGGAGCTCTGCAGATACACTTTTTGCCGGCTTGGAATTCTTCTTATTTTCATCCTACTTCTTCTTCTTCTTCTTTTGAATCCTCATCCTCTTCTTCTTCTTCTGAGGATGAGGATGAAGAAGAAGAAGAAGAAGAAGAAGTAGGATGAAAATAAGAAGAATTCCAAGCCGGTCACGTGGTAAAAAGTGTATCTGCTAAAGAGCTACCCTCTAAGTGTATCTGCAGAATAGAGGAGCTCTGCAGATACACCTTTTTGCCGGCTTGGAATTCTTCTTATTTTTCATCCTACTTCTTCTTCTTCTTCTTCCTCTTCCTCTTAATCCTCATCCTCTTCTTCTTCTTCTGAGGATGAGGATGAGGATGAAGAAGAAAAGAAGAAGAAGAAGAAGTAGGATGAAAATAAGAAGAATTCCAAGCCGGCAAAAAGTGTATCTGCAGAGCTCCGCTAAGTGTATCTGCAGAGCTCCGCTAAGTGTAAGAAATAGCGGAGCTCTGCAGATACACTTTTTGCCGGCTTGGAATTCTCCTTCTTCTCATCCTTCTTCTTCTTCTCATCCTTCTTCTTCTTCTCATCCTTCTCCTTCTTCTCATCCCTTCTCCTTCTTCTCATCTTCTTCTTCTTCTTCATCCTTCTTCTTCTTCTCATCCTTCTCCTTCTTCTCATCCTTCTTCTTCTTCTCATCCTTCTCCTTCTTCTCATCCTTCTTCTTCTTCTCATCCTTCTTCTTCTTCTCATCCTTCTTCTCATCCTTCTTCTTTTCTCATCCTTCTTCTTCTTCTCATCCTTCTTCTTCTTCTCATCCTTCTCCTTCTTCTCATCCTTCTTCTCATCCTTCTTCTCATCATCCTTCTCTTCTTCTCTCTTCCTTCTTCTTCTCATCCTTCTCCTTCTTCTCATCCTTCTTCTCATCCTTCTCCTTCTTCTCATCCTTCTTCTCATCCTTCTCCTTCTTCTCATCCTTCTCCTTCTTCTCATCCTTCTCCTTCTTCTCATCCTTCTCCTTCTCCTTCTTCTCATCCTTCTCCTTCTTCTCTCATCTTCTCCTTCTCCTCCTTCTTCTCATCCTTCTCCTTCTTCTCATCCTTCTCCTTCTTCTCATCCTTCTCCTTCTCCTTCTTCTCATCCTTCTCCTTCCTCATCTCCAAGGGCATTTAAATTAAAGGTACAGTGTTCTGCACTAATTAAAGGCTCTCTGATGCCTAGAAACCCTATTTATAAGTTAAATTCGTATGGGCATCAGACCTTTTAGCTGGGTTGCTCCTTTCCTGCTGTTACATGTGGTCCTCGCTCTGGGGGCCAGTGAAGCTCTTAGCTTTCTTTCTTTACAGCTCTGCTGACTCTCTCTACATCTGATCCCCCTCCCAGGTTCTTGCTTCGGCCTCACCTCTTCCCCACTGTCATCCAACCAAATTCTCCTCCAGCTGAACAGTCCCACTTTCTTTTAATGGTTGTTCTAGCCCCCCTTGCCAAGGCTCTTGTTGAGGATTGGCTAGGATCCCTCAGGAGCACAAGCCAGCATCTCAGCTCCAACCACTGCCTGTAGGCCTTCCTTCAAAGCTCTAAGGCAGTGTGAAATTCCAGAGGGGCTAGCCTGTAGAACCTCTCAGCTCCTGACCCAAATTTGAACTCCTGACTATTATGCCCAGGCTGCTACTCAGCCCTCCTCTCTAACAATCAGGATTCTATCTCCCCCTAGCGAACTAGGGGGGTGCTATACATAGATTCAGTACACTAAGTGTGCGTTGTCACAGTCGTGCTACTGACAGAATCATCAGGTGAAATTAAGGGGAAAAAAGCCACACAAATATAATGTGGCCACCATATCCCAGGACTTGTAGGCTGCAATATATTTCATATTTGTTTTGGGCTTACATTCACTATGGTCTAAATTTAAACTCATTATATTCATTTCCTCATTTTATTTTATGTATTTATTGCCTACTCCTATTAATCTGAAGGGTCTTGAAGTTTGTAAACTTACTTTGTGAAGATCCCCCGCTCATTTCCTTCCTTGAATTCTTGAACTACAGAGGTGTTGATAGAAGATGTGTTCAGGACAGGAATTACTGCTGGCAGGCAGCAAGGTACCATGGGATGTGTAGCCCTTAGCAATTAACATAAATAGCAGAGGAGAAGCCTCATAGCATGCTGTGGAAGTCGTGAAAAAAGATGTCCAGTAAAAATAACTATTGGTTGTATTGCTATTGCAATGCTGGTGCCATAAAATGAATGTGTATGCTGTGACCATAGTACTCCTTTAAGTCTATAGTTACCATCTCTCTGTATTCTTTGACACTATCAGCCAAATATTTATTAATGTGGTGTTTTTTTTCACATTTCTGCTTTCCTGTTATCCCTTTGAGATAAATTAAAGTACTGATAGAAGCCCATTCTTTCTCAACTCTGCATTATCTCTGACAACTGAAATGCCCACTTTGCTTTTCCACTTGCATATGTGCAATTTAGTACTAATTCCCACCATAACAATTGCCAGCTGTTCCTGTATTTAGATACTGCTTTTTCCTTTAATTAAATTAAATTTATCAGCTTCTTTGAATTCTCTGAGGTAGACCATAAAACTAACTTTCTGTGCACTGAGCAATAAATCAAGTTAGCATCCAAGTCACCTTGGCATTTACTGCTAATAACACTGGTGACATTTTTGTTTTCTTAGCTCAAGCAATGGAATGTCACTAAGATTCTGTCTCCTGTGAACTAAAGTAAAGACAAATACACACAGAGCTACCCTGAACAGAGGCAAGCAAAAGGCAAGACAAAAGCCAGTCGAACACATATGGAGACTGCAGCAGCAGGTAGACGTATGCGTTTCGTAACAAATTGATTTTCTGACAAAAATTAGATTTTCAGAGATTTGGTGTATATGAATCTCTGAATGGACATAGTAACGAATGTCAACAAATCCCAAAAAAATTATAATAAAATAACCAAATGCATTTATTAAATTTGTTTTATTCCTATGATGTCTCATGATGTGATAGTTCGTGCCTAATTTTCAAAATTCGTTTGGTAATTGGGATTTGAGTAAATTTGTGAATTTGTAATTGTCACTGTCAGTCAGTTCAGTTCCGCAATCTAATGCAATTCTTAGATCCAAAAAAGTTTGGGCTACCGAAATTCACAATATTTATTCTGTTACGTCTGAAAATATTGAATCCAAATACTAGTATTGAATCCACACAAAATACATAGCAATCAAAAAAAACTGCAACATTTTTCAAACCTACCTGGACCAATAAATATACGAAATGAATGCCGAAAATACAAAACAAATTTTGAAAATGAATCGACTCAACATAATGAATATGACTAAACTAAATTTTTCAATGAATGAAAGCATCCGAAACAAAACACAATGAAAATATCTCTGCCAGCAAGTTAGCATTTCTGTTGTACTGGGGGATGTGGGTATTAGAAAAAGGATAAGGGCTAGCACATGTGTCAGCAAGTCATGTATGAGTGTACCTAAAGTCACCATTTGATTTTAGGTATTTATTAAATGTACTTTAAACATTGATAGTACAACTAACTGAATATGTCTTTTTACTATCCTGCTTCAGAATCCTGCATTCAAAAAGGGGAGTTGTACACAATGAGTCAATCAACATACCTGGGAAATTGTTGGAATTGACCTGATAATGCTGGAAATTTGATTTAGTTGCCAGGTCATTACCACTATTGAAAATGTTTTGACCATCATGCATAACAGCTGTTTACTGAGCCACACATAATTCACTGTGGGTCTG